GGCAGCCTCTTGCTTTCCCGCGTTGTGGTGGCTCCTCCTCTTCTCCGATCAGGTCCCCGTGTAGCCCAAGGCCGGGACCTCTTGTTCCTCTTGGGCAGGGCGATGCTGGACTGAGGGTCCGCCTCTTGCGCAGGGTGAGGTCACGCCGCGCGCGCCTTACGCCAGGAGCCCTCACCGCTGGCCAGCAGCCCTGGGGCCGTAGCTGCCGTGCCCCCTGAAGCTGGGCTGGCCTCCAGCCCTTGGGAAGAGGGGCAGGGTACCCCAGATCTCCCTTCTGGCACCTGGTGAGGCTGCACGTTCTCTCGGATCTCCTCCTGCTTCCTCCGCGGAGCGTCCAGTGTGTTCGTGGGCGTGCAGGAGCGTGAGCTTGCTCTTCGCTCGGTTATTCCAGCGTGCAGTAGCCTGCCTGGCCCCTGCTCTCCAAAGCCCCAATATTTGTTGTTTTCTATTCCCTCACTGACATGGGGAGATGGTTCGAGTTAAAAAAAAAAACCCAGAGGGTGCTTTGAAGACAAATTCCTCAAATTCCTTATTCCCCTGTCTATTACAGCTTGCGCTGGACGCTGCCCTGTGCTTGTGCCCCCAGCTCCCTCTGTGCTGGAGCTGGTGCTGCTCCCGAATAGAACAGAGTATTTCAGTTGGAAGGGACCTACAACCGCCTGACTGACGGAGGGCCGGCCAGCCGTTCGAGCGCGCCCTTAAGTGCCTCGGCCAGCCCCTGGTGGAGAAGAGGGTCTCCCTCCCATCCCTTACTTGGGGTTTTTGTGAGACTTGATGCGGATCGGCAGGGACTGGAGTGCTGGAGAAGTCCGGCTGCTTTCCGTCACCTCTGCCCGCGGAGCTTTTGAACCCCCCTCGCGCTGCTCCTGCTGAGCCCTGGCCCCCGGCCCCTCTGGGGACAGCTCGGGTCCGGGGGTGCTGCTGGCTGGAAGCAAACGACGCTCGTGCTAAATAACGCGTCGTGCTGATGAGGACTCGCTGTGAGAGGTCTGAGGGGGCAGACCTCGAGCACTGCACCCCCGAGCCGACTGTCACGGGGTGCGTGGCCGGTGACAAGCACTGGCGGCCCCTCCACGCGGCGCTGCCCCAGCCCGGGGCATCCCAGCTGTACCGGTACGTGCCTGCTTCCCGGTGCTCAGCTCTGCTCTGCTTTCCTCTCCAGAACAGCCTGGGTCTGATCTATACCATCTACGTGGACGGACTGAGCGTGTCCCTGGAGAACGTCATCGGGAACCTCCTGACGTGTACCATCCCCATCACCGGGGGCGCTCAGGTGGGTAATCTGCCCCTTCCCCCTCGCCTCTCCCTGCTTCTCCCTCCTAAGCAGCTCTGGTAGAAGCAGGGATGTTTTGCTCAGCTCTGCTCTGGTTTTGCTGGGCTGGGGTGAGCTGAGCAAGGCTGATTCGACTCGACACTGGCTATTGAGGAGCTGCCGCAGCGTGCCGCGATGGGCCAGTGCGCAGGCGGTGCCTTCCCGAGCGCTTAAGAGTAGAAACAACAAAGCTCTGTGATTTGGAGCCGCTCAGCTCCTAGATCAGCTGCGAAGATCGTGCTGCTTCGCTTGGCTACAGCTTGCCCTGACTAGGCAGCTTGGTCTTGGCTCCTGGCTCCCTCCAGGGGGGCGTGCTGGGTGACTTGGCCACCAGCTGGCTTACGCAGTCACCAATTTGTGCAAACAATTGCCACAGTCTCCGGTCTTCCCTGCATCGGGGAGGTCTCGCTCCTCCACTCGGGCCTGCCTGATTGCCTGCTGAGCTGCTCCGGAGCGGTCACAGGCCCTCTGTGAGAGCGGAGCCGGCTCTAGGGAGACGGGCCAAGCAAGGCCAACGTTTGCCGATGGGCAGCTTGGGGCTCTCTCCTCGAACCGCTGGCCTGCGCCTGCGCGTGGCCGGCATTTCTGATGGACGGGGCTTGAGGAGCCACAGCCGCGCTTGTGCCCAGAACCGAGGCCATCGGCGATAACCCTCCTGCCTTTCCCCGAGCCACGCGTTCCTCTAGCCCTCCTCCTCCTCCTGCTCGAGGAAGGCCAGCTGGGCACAGGCTTGCTCATGCGAGCAGCAGATGGGTAAGGGCGGGCTAATTGAAGCTGACTTGGAGATGACAGAAGGGGAGAGAGCCCAGCTGGACCCTCTGGTAGGAGGCATTTGGAGACAGCAGTGTAACCCCCTGGAGCCCTTCTGCTATGCTAATACCTGGAACGTAGCCGTGGATGTGCACTTGTGGCTTCACTTTCAGCTGAGCTCCACTTCCCCCAGCAAAACACACCGTCCGATTCCCTCGCACCCGGGCTGCACCCAAGCGGAGGAGCCTTTGCAAGGCTGGGGCAGAGGTTTCTTCCACCACCGTGGCCCGTGACCTCGAGGGGTGGCTGCTGCCTTGAATCTGTGTTATCTAAGCGGGCTTCTTGGGCGGGTGCTTTCTGCTGGGCCCCTTGGGCTGCCGTGGCGCCCTGCCATGGCTCTGGTGCTTCCTCTGGGGGTCCTGGGGGGGCCCAGCGGTGGTCCTGGTACTTGCAGGAGAGGGCTGTATGGCACTCGTATCCGAGTTCTCCGGAGAAGGAAGCAGGGTGCTGCCCACACCCGGGGGCTGCGATCTGTGCCAGGCGTCCCCGGCTTGCTCCGGCTGCGGGCGAGAGCCGTGGCATTCCCGCAGGATCTGCCCAGATCTCTCCGACTCTGTCCGGTTCCTCCCCGGCGGGACGCGTAAGCGGCAGTACGGGAGAGGAGAGGCTGTTGGGCCCGGGGCGGCTCCTCGCGCCGCGGGTAGCTCGCCGAACGGCGCCTTTTGGCACCGCCATTCGTCACCTCCCGGTTCTCGCAGGGGCCG